CACGAGGTGTGCCTTCACCTTCTCCCTGTCCAGCTCCAGCTCCTCCCCGTTCTCCGAACACAGCTTCAGCCCGATGTAGTCGTCGATGTACAGCAATAGCATCAGCTGCACCTTCTCGAAGGACGGGGTCGGCCTCCCATATGTGATCTGCCCGAGGTTGATGTCGGGCAAACTCTCCAGGGCGTCCGACAGGCAGCTGTGGGCCAAGAAGACGGCCCAGCTGGACCCCATGACGGGGGACATGGCTCCAAGTCCAATATCGTCGGGCTCGGGCTTCGGTATAGAGATCCCCTGCTTGCACGCGTAGTCGTAGATCTGCTGCGGGGTCACCTCTGGCAGCACAAAGTACTCCGCCAAGGAAGCCGGCCATCGTAGCCGGTAGAACCAGTCGGGAATATCGCCCTGGAAGGAGTATAGCCGTCGCCCATGTAGGATTGACTCGTCCAGCTCCAACAGCGCCAGGGATGCGGGGGACCCCAGGGGGACCCACGGCGGGTCCTGGAACAAGAGATTGACCCGCCTGCAGTCCCAGACCAGGCGGCTCTTCTCCACCCCCGTCCCCTGCTCGCTCAGGTTCTTGACTACGGTGAACACGCCAACCCTCTCGCGTATGTTCTTCACGTAGCCTATCATCCCCGAGCGAAGCATTCGTAGGGCGAGCTCGAGTCGATTGCTGCCCCGTCTCCAGCCCGGGTCGGTGTAGCTGCGCGTGTTCTCGTAGCGGTCCCAGTCGACCTGACCCACTTCCTTGATCATCTCGCTGCCCACATTGCTGAGGTAAGCCCCCGCCGTCTCCGAAAGCCTCTCGATGTTCAGGCCCTTCGTATTCGGCGGCGGCACCGAGACCTCCGAGGCCACCAGCGGGCACATGTCCCCCTTGCTCAGGTGCTTCCTCGTCGTCCTCGATCTCGTCATTGTACGTGTACTCTGATAGTCCAGCGCTCCTTCCCCCCCCAGACGGCTGATCACCGCCCTGCCGTCGTTGATGGTACCCCAGCACTCGGATTGAGCGTGCCTGTCCCAAAGATCGTTGACGATGGCCGTCTGTAATGGGGTCGCAGTCCTCCACTCCCGCCAATCCCTCCGCCGCCTCAAGATCAGGGTCTCCTGACCCAGATGCCCCGCCGCCAGACCCCGAATGGCCGCCGATGCCCTCTGGACTCGAGCGAGTGTCAGCTGCAGCTGCCTCTCGTCCAAGCCCTGGGAAGTAGGCCGGGCAGAAAGCGGGTACGGCAGGATGGGAAGCGTTCGCAGCGGGTCCCGCTCCCTCTCGTCCACCATCATAAGGGACAGGGTCCACCAGGTGACCTGCACCCCGACGCGAGAAAAAGGTGTCGTTGAAGTAGAGGTCGGACTCGGAGACACCGTCGTCCGACCTGAAGAAGTTGGCCGCGCCCGAGAAGCCGTACAGCCAGGGGGACGCGACCAGGCACCAGCCCGCTACCTCGAAGGCCCGCGAGCTCCCAGGTGTCTGCAGGGCGCCAAGGCCCCACAACAGCACCCGAATCCACCTCGAGTGTGGCCTTACGCTTTGAGCGTGCACTTGGCCAGGACTTGCCACGGGAGCCCCGGCCGCAACCTATTCGTGATCAGCACCCACCGCGCCGCTGTCCTTGGCGCCCTGCAGGTGCTTCGCGATGGTTGCCCTCCTCTTCAGCTTCTCCGTCACCTCGTCGTCGGCCTTCAGGTTCGCCAGCTCCGTGTCTCCGTCCACCTTGAGGTACTCGTCGGCCAAGGCCCAGTCGACCTTGGAGCGCCACTTGCTCCCGCTCTGCTGCCCCTTCGGTCGCTGCCAGTCACTGAGGCACTTCACATTCTCGTAGGCCTTCCAGATCGCGTAGAGGCGGAGGCAAGTGAGCTCCGCCGCGGGGCTGTTGATGAGCTGGTCGTAGGCGCCCTCCGCCATCATGCGGTCCAGCACCATGGCCAACATCATCACCTCCGAGCTGATGCTCGCCCGCTGCAGCTCCTTCGACCTCAACCACTCGCCCAGCTCGATCTTGGCCGTGCGCCCCGAACGGTACAGCTTGTGCAGCACTGTCGGCGCGACCCTCGTCTTCACGCCGCCCACAGGCGTCATGCGCACATGCTTGAACCTCTCGAGGGTGGCCAGCAGGCCGTCGCGCGGGTTGCGGCTCTCCTCCTTCAGCAACTGGATACGATCCTGCAGCTCCTCGTCTACACCCCCGACCTGCTCCCATGAACCCGCGCTGTCGAGAGACTTCGCCGGGGACCCAGTGCCAGCAGTCGCCCGTGTAGAATCCGTCTGTACCGTCTCCACATGCTCGTTCAGCTTCGAAATGAAGTCGTCGATCTGGGATGTGGTCGGCTGCCCCTCGCCCTCGCTCACGGACTGCCCCTCAGGGCTGGAGGGTCCTGGGTCTGACGTGCGATCTGAGCCGCTGGAACGTGGAGGGGAAGCCCTGGCACCGAGAGACTGTGTCGCAACGGCCCCCGTCAGGTCGGTCATCGCCCTCTGTAGTGCCTGCTGCTGATTGGCCAACTCCGCGAAGAGGCGCCGCGGGGACGGCTCATCGTCGGAGTCGGCGACCTGCGTCCCCAGGACCCTGTCATCCTCGTCGTCACTGATCGCGGAGCCCCTGTCTGAGTCGGAGTCGCTCGCGTCGCCGTATGACCATGCCCAGAGTAGGTACCCCGTCACCAGGGTCCCGCCGATGGCCACGAGGACATACTCGAGGTCCCCGCTCTCGTAGTACTCGTAGATGGTGTCGTACACGTGCTGCACGTCCTCGACGGTCTCGTAGACGGCTCGGGCCCCATCATAGGCCGCACGGAAGATCGAGCCCAGGCGGAAGAAGCGCCAGGCACGCCAGCACAGGAAGGAGATCGCGCTCCACGAACCCCAGCTCCGCTTGGCCCACAGCGCCGTGAAGAGGTTCCCCACCCCGCCCGTGAGCCACGCGACAAAGCCGCCCCTCGCGCTCTTCTTCTTCGACTTCGGCGGGGGCTTGCTCACCTTCAGCTTCCCGTTCTCGGAGTCGACCTCGAGCCTGGCGATCGCCCTCTCCGCCGCGGTGATGACCGCGTCGCGGCTCCGAGCGGAGACGCCAGGGTGCTCTGTCCACTCCACGTTCGCTGTCGGCTTCGTCAGCACCCGCTTCTTGTCCCTCACATCAATCATCACGATACGATGGGTGGGGTCCGCTGCTGCCCACAGGCCGGGATGCTTCGACCCAGCCTTAGTCACCAGCAGCATCACCACCCCCTGCGGCTTGGTGGGGCTCTTCACGTAGATCCTATTCTATCGCGCCCATGGCGCCATCGTCCACCTGGTGGTGGTAGTGCCCTCAATCACCTCCTCCCCGTAGGCCTCCTCCGCGGCGCCGCCGAAGCCCCGCTCGAGGACCCCGCTCTCGGGGATCAGGTAGTGCAGCTCCTGCACCACCAGGAAGAGCAGCACGGCGAGCACCCTGCGCGCCGTGACGACAGCCCCCGAGGCCCCGCGGCGGGGGCAGGGAAGCAGGCTGGTGCCTCGGTCCTGCGGGCGACGGGCTCCTGGAGCCCAAACCAGCTCGGACCGAAAAAGCTATGAGCACATACAAAGATAAGGAGAGCACAGACGGCCCACGACCCCGCACACTGCGACATAAAAGATTGTTTGAAAACAGTTATTTGGGGGACAGGCGAAGTCCCCCGAAGATGCCACGTGACATCCTCAGTCGTTTCTTGACGGTCCTGGGGCCCACCGAAAGTCGGGCTGGGCGAAAGGGGGGTATAGCAAAGGGAGGGTTTGAGAATCAGCTCACGTAGCTGATTTTCCCGGCGCCGGGAGGCGGCCACGTATCGAGGAATGGGCCCGGCGGCGGGGCCGAAACCAGCTGCATACAGCAGATTTGAGAGAGCGTGATCCACCGCCGCTTTACTGTAAAAAATTCCCCCCCCCCTCTTCCTCTGGAACCCGGGGGTTCCCCCACCCCCCCTCCGAAAATCCCACCCCCCCCTTGCTGGACCCGCCCCCCCCTCCCCCGGCAAAACCCCCCCCCTCCCCTAACACCCCCCCTCCCCCTCGAAAACCAGGGGGGTCACTACCGGTTCGACCCCCCCCCCTCTCGAAAACCGGAGGGGGGTTTGTACCGGTTCGAACCCCTCCCACCCCCCTCACCGCCAGCAAACGACTCCCGGTCCCTACCACCGTCCGCACCACATCTCCCACTGTTGTTCCCAGCACCACTGTCCTCACCACCACTGTCCCCACTGGTTCCACCACCGTCCCTACTGTCCCCACCAGTGCCCCCACCACTGTCGCACTGTCCCCACTGTCCCCACCACTGTTCCCACCACGGTTCCACTCTCCCCACTTTCTCCACGGCCCCAACCACTGCCCGACTATCCCCACTGTCCCCACTGTCCCACTGACTCCTCCGCTGTCCCACTGAGCTGTCCCACTGTTCCCACCACTGTCCCCACTGTCCCCACCACTGTCCCCACTGTACCTCTGTCCCATTGTCCCACCGCTGTCCTCGCCACCGCCTTCACCACTGTCCCCACCACCACTTTACCCTCCACTGTCCAACTGTTTCCACCACATTCCCACTGTCCCCACACCACTGTCCCCACCACCACCATCCCCACCACTGTCCCACTGTCCCCAATGTTCCCACCATTGTCCTCACCATTGTCCCCACCACTACCGTCTCCACCACTGTCCTACTGTCCCCGCCACTGTCCCGCTGTCCCCTCACCACTGTCCCCACCACCACCGTCCCCACCACTGTCCGCACCCCCCCCCCGGTTTTCGAGGGGGGGGGTTCGAAGTGGTAGTGACCCCCCCCGGTTTTCGAGGAGGGGGGGGGGGTGTTCGAACAGGTAGTGACCCCCCCCTTTTCATGATGGAATGGGGGGGGAGGGGTTCGAACCGGTAGTGACCCCCCCCGGTTTTCGGGTGGGGGGGGGGGAGGGGGGGGGTAGTTCGAACCGGTAGTGACCCCCCCCGGTTTTCCGCCAGCAGCGGTAGAATACGCTCTTTCGCAGATTTCGTACCCCCCCTTTCCCTATCTCCCCCTTTCGTCTGGCCCGAGAAAGTCCCCAGAGGACGGACAGAACTTCGGAGAGCCTCCGCCTTGCCTTTCCCTTCTGCGCGGGCGCGGCCGGCTGCACGGGCGCCGAGCCCCGAGTGCAGCTGGGCGGCAGGTCGGCCGGCGGACGCAGGCGGGTGATGTTCACCTGCTGAGCTCTGCCCAGGAGCCCCTTCGGTGGTTCAAAGCTGGGGTCCGCAGGGATGGAGACCTGAGGACGGGAGGGGATCCAAGGACTTGGATGTCATCTACTTGAGGCACCTCGTCCTCGGGACCCCATCCCTCAGGACCCCATCTTGGAAGCACCGACCCCTCGTCCTGCACGCTCCGCACCTCCCGCGTGGCAAGTGCCGCGCAGCGGCGGCAAACGAGGCCGGCCGCCGCCGGCCCCGCCACGGCGGCACCTGCCGCGAGGATGGAGGCTCTGAGAGTGCAGGCGGAGGGCGACGAAATCTATGCACATCCACTGCCCCGTGGCCAGGCCCTTCCGGGGCCAAGGAACTGCGTACACGCCTTCCCAGCCAGGCCTGGAGGGCGTGGCGTGTACACCGCTGCTGGGTTCAGGCTGGACCTGGCCAGGGAGGGTGCAGGTGGAGTGCGACGAAATCTATACCTATCCACGGCTGCCTGGCCGCGTCCATCCTGAACCCAGCAGCGGTGTATACGCCACGGCCTCCAGGCTTGGCCAGGAAGGCGTGTACACAGTTCCTGGTCCCCGGAAGGGCCTGGCCACGGGGCAATGAATGTGTATAGATTTCGTCGCCCGAGAGGGTTGCTCTGATCGGGGATCGAGGAGGGAAGGCCCTGGGCAGCTCTGGAAGGTTCGGGGGGCGCGCCTGCCCCCCATCCTCGAGTACACGCAAGAGCGGCCCTGGGCAAGAATGGCCTGTGTGCGAGGCGGGGATTTCTCCATATCCACCGCCCGTGGGACCGACGTCCTGGGGACCCACTGGGCGGTGGACATGGATAGATATTGGCCCCTGAGGTTCGTATATATCCATATATCCACCGCCTGTGGAGGTCCGCGAAGATCGATCCCCCAGGCGGTGGTTATGCATAGATCCCCGCCTCGGACGTTGGTGCTGCGCGGCTTCAGGGGGGTGCGGGGAGCCACATCCAAGCACGCAAGCTGCTGCTGACCGACGCATCGCGTCCAGCGATCGGAACACACCAGCGCGCCGGCACCAGAAGCCAACAATGGGAAGGGCCACTCTTGTGCGTCCTGGGCACGCGTGCCTCCGGAGGGCTTCCGGGCACGTCCGGGGGCAGGATCCGAGGCGGAACTGAAACGTGTGCCGTGTTCGCCTTTTCCTTGCAGTCGAGGTCGAAGGTCTCGGGGCCCAGGCCCCGGCGCAGCACCGTGGCCGGGATCCAGCTGCGCTGAGAGGCGCTGTGGTATTCCACGACGGAGCCCTCCTGGATGCAGTGAATGTTCTCGGGTCGCACGCGAGGCTTCACGCTGAGGTCGTAGGTCCCATCCTGCTGCTGGTGCTGCTTCTCCTCCATCCTCATGAAAGTATTATGGTGTTCCTCCGCACACTCCTCCTCCTCCTCCTCCTCCTCCTCCTCCTCCACCAACTCCCCCTCCTCCTCCTCCTCCTATTGCTCCTCTTCCTCTTCCTCATCATCCTCATCAGCATGCGCATCATCATCATGGTGCTCCTCATCGTCATCACCATCTTCACCATCATCATCTAAATCACCAACAGCATCAACATCATGATCATCGCCACCATCACCACACCCATCATCACGTTAACCATTGTCGTCGTCATGGACAGCCTGCGCATCATCATCCTCATTCCCCTCATCGTCATCAAAATCGCCTTCATGGACATCATAACATTCATCATCAACATCATCATCACCCTCACCACCGTCATCATAATCGCCACCCTCGTCATCATAAGACGCATGATATACATCACCGTCATCATAACCAGCATCATCAGTGGTTTGCCTATATATCGTCGGCGTGTGTAAATGCTTATTTAAATTGTTCGGTTATTGCTGCTATTGTACGTGATTTTCGTATTCGTCGAGCTCAAAAGAGGTTGTTAGGTCCCTGCGAACCGAAGACAACATGGCTGCAATGTCCGGTTAGCAGACTTGCTGAAGGCACTGCGTGCGTGTATATGCTCCGGCCGGCCGAGAGGGAGCGAGGCCGCGCGCGCACTTTTGCCCTGCGCGCGCAAGCAGCTGCGGGCACACCCGCATCCGCCTTTACCCCTACCCATTCTTTGTTGAAGGGGATGGGCAGGGCAGTTTAACCAGGCGAGCGGGGCATGAATAATGACTCCCCCCGCGGCCTCCCGGCGAGGCACGGCCGCGCGCGGGTGGGCGTTGGCGCGATGGCTGACGCCCCGAGCAAAAGAGGCGGGACACGCCGCGTGGAAATCAGCGGGCCCCGAGGGCGGAGGGACAGACTTCACCCTTTCCCCAGAGGCCACCTTGCGCCCGGCGCCAACCCCCAAAAAGATTGAGGGCGCGCGTGGGAGGGAAGGGGGTACTCTTGCCACCGTTCCATGGGACTTGCCGGGGGCCTCCCGGCGCGCCCCACCCTAAATAAGAACCGCTCTAGCGCGCTGCCCAGCGCTCAACTTTGTTCCCCCCCGCGACCGGAGCGCCACCATCGAGCCCACAATGGGGGCGCAGGGCCCACGAGGAAGCGACGCGCTACTCTGCGAAGCTTCGACCCCGCCCATCACGGATCGCCCGGCCCTTCCCCTCCAAACAGCCCGCGCGCACTTGCTTCGCCTCACCCAGACTCCCCGACTGCGCGCGCATATGCGCCGAGCAACTTCAGCGGCAGATGGCCCGAAGGGACCATTGAAGATGCAATTGCTCAATGATGCTTGTCTCGAGCTCGCGCTCGCGCGCCCGGTGCCACTGTCTCTCGTCGCCCGGGCATTCTACACGCAGCGTTTAGAGGTCGCGTGAAGCGCAGCTCCTGAGGTTATTGGCGCGGGTTCCTCAATGCCCCGCGGCCTATTCACGCCTTCCGCGACGCTCGCGGGAGCGACGGCGAGCAACCTTGCGACGACGATTCAGATCAGCGAAGCTAAGAGATCGGTCGGAAGACTCGAGGACGCGGCCAAGGCACCCACACCCCTTGGCCGCCCGCTTCCCGCTGCGCCCCTACAGCCGCGGTGCGTATAACATATGCCAACTGAACAACACGTCGCCCCCCTTCGAAATGCAAACTGACCTCGTCGACACTCTTCGCGCTGAGCCCCCCTCGCTTTCCACTCATGCCCCCCTTCACTTGCCGCCCCCCCATCGCTTCCACGCCGCGTGCCACTTGCATATAGGTGGCGACCCTGCTAAGATCCTTATGAAGCCCGCGCTGATATTCCCACTTCCACGCGAACTCGGCGACGCGCCGCCGCAAATCGAACGCGCGCGCTCTGCAGCCCGCCAACAGGCCCAGGAAACAAACGGCCTGGAACCTGCCCGAAAGTCCCGCGTCGCCAGGGACACGCGCAAACACGCGGCCTGTCGCGCGCGTGAAATCACACGCGCGCGTGGATGTCACGGCGCGGTCCAGGGCATTATAGAGTATATGCAAGTCGTCGTCGTTGATGGCCACGGCAATCGGGAACGCGAAAGAGAACGCAGCATCATAGGAGTTCGCGGCAATACCTGGCGCCCGTGTCCTCTGCATGCTCGACAACCGAATCTAATCTGACTGCGCCCCCAGAAAAAAAGGAGCATCTGCGATGTCAGCATCGGAGCCTTGATCGGACGTGAACGACCAAACTTCGCCAATCGAGATTGGCGGATGATCCAGTCTCGAGTCTTGCACAATGGAGCGCGCTAAATACCTTATGGGCCACTGTCGCGGCCCCCGTTCCAACGGTGGTCAACGGCGCGTGGCGCTGCTCGATGTCTGCTCTGGCATGCGCTCTCTCCCTCGCCAGAGCGCCAGAGCGCGGGAGTTCCCGATCTTCCTGAAGGACAAAAGAAGTTTCTGATTTTGATCGTCGAGGCATCTGCGATCAGATGCCCGCGGCCATAATGTTGCGCCCAAGCAGTTCTCTGGCATGCAGCATGAATTATGTTCGCCCTGAAATTCGCTCGTCTCAGAACCTCCTGCGATTGTACCTGGCGGGGCCCTCCGGGAGAGCAGCGCGCGCTTTCGCGGCCTCCTCCCGGGAGAGCGACAGTTGCAGAGCTTGCGTGATTATTTGCTTCAAGTCAGTTGACTGGTCGATCATGTCAATGCTCATTTGCCACGCCCTGAGGACCGCATCGGGCTTGAAACAATTCGCGCACCAAGGGGGGCTGGCCACAGAGTCCGCGACGATCAGCCCGCTAGAGGTGTCTCTGGCCATGTCATCGGGAACTTCAATTTCCCCCAATGGCGCGCACGCCCCCCCCCCCCGAAGGGTGGATCGCCCGCGCAAGCCATGCTGCAATAACTGAGAGGCGCTAGGATCAAAAGGACATGCGAGATCGCGATCTGTTCAGCCAATGGGAAAGACGCGGCCCTGAACGCGCGCATTGACAACTTCCTGCGTCAACTAACCCACGGCGCCAGCATGCATCAAGCACGCGCGACGCAGGGCTCAACTTACACGCGGGCCCCCAGGGCCGACGATCAGTCGGCGGGATGCGGAGGAGGGCGCGTCGATTAACATTGGCGACCTTCCACGCTACAGCGTCGGCCCCGCAGCCACCGTTGATCTCCTGCTCTGGCACTGACGGGCGCGACCGCGCAAAACGCTCCCCTGCGGACTCCAGGGCAACAACGCCATGAGGAAATGCGCGGGGCGCTTCAGCTGCGGCCTCAGTTCGCTTCATCTCCCGGGAAGGCCCCATGTAAATAACCGGAACCGCTGGGGCACCGCGCCCCGCGCGGTCTTTCGTCGACCGCCCCCCCCCCCCCGCCGCAACCAGGGAAAAAATGGAACGCGGCCGACGCGGCGGAGAGGCTTTGGCGGAGTTGGGCGGGGGACGCGACGCCGGAAGGGACCGCGCGAAATAAACCAGACGACGACGACGACGACGGCGGCGGCGACGACGACCACGACGACGACGACGAGACGACGGCGACGAGATGACGACGACGACGACGACGACGACGAGACGACGACGACGACGACGACGACGGCGACGGCGAGAGCGACCGCGACGACGAGGAGGCGACGACGACGACGACGAGACGACGACGACGACGACGACGACGACGACGAAGCCCGACAACGACGACAACAAGGGAAATGCGGAGGAAGCGCATGGCCATGTTAGGGCAAGATTTTGGATTCTCGCGGCGCGAGGGGAACGCACTGGGACGGCGTGCGTTTTCTTAATTATGCGCGCGCGTGCACACGCACACACACACACACACACACATATATATATATATATATATATATATATTCATATGTATGTATATATAAATAAATGTAAATCGGGCTCTCGATGAAGTATCGTGGGAGATCTCATTCCCGTGGTATCGCGGGGGCTCTTCCTCTGACCTTCGAGCCGGACCGGGCCCCCCCTGGGGCATTCGGGGGGGCGAGCGCCGCGAGCTGCGGATGTTCCAGGGTCGCAAGGGCAAACGCAGCCTCCTCCTCTTCCTGATCCTCCTCCTCCGCCCCCCCTCCTCCTCCGCCTCTTGCTCGCGCCCTTGCTGCTCCTGGGGGGGGGGGCGTGCCCCTGCGCGCCCCCTATGCGCGCGAGCCGCGCCGGGATGCCAACGGCGCGCGTGCCCTAGAGGATCTGGTTCACGACCCATGTTGCCACTGCGCCTTCTCAGATTTTCTCGCATGCGCTAATCCCGGGATGGTACCGGATGACGTTCGGCTCCATTTTCACTTCCCGCGCTTGGCTGAGCAGCGCCAAAGCCATCGACCGCTGATCGCCCCACTCGCACGCGCTGATCCCGGCGTTGTAGCTGATGTCGTCAGATTGCCCATTGGCCGCAAACGCCGCGCCGAGCAGCGCCAAGGCTTGCAGCCCGTGCTATCTAGATTCGCAAGCGTTGATCGGGTCGCTGAAGCTGAGGACGTCACACTCCACATTTGAAACCCACATTCCGCTGAGTAGCACCTTGAAGCCCACTGCCGCTGCAGGAATTTCCAACAGGCGCTGATCCCAGCAGACAAGCAGGTGACGTTGGGCTACAAATTCGAATTCCACACCCCGCAGAACAGCAAAGCCCACTGCCACTGCCCAGGATTCTCACAAGCGCTGATCGCAACACTGTAGTTGGTGACGTTGGGCTCCACATCCGAGTTTCACATCCCGCCGAGCAGGAACGCAGCCCGCTGCCACTGCCAAGATTTCTCACAGGCGCCGACCCCTGCACTGCAGCTGGTCGGGTCGCCACATGGCCCCCAATACTCCGCGGAACCGCCCGGCATCCTGCTGCAATTGCTAACCCCCCGACGCGCGCACGGTCAGGCACTGTAGCTGGTGGCGCGGGGTCCCGCATTCGAATGCCACGTCCCACTATGCAGCGCCACGCCCAGCAGCAACTGCCCAGCTTCCTCGCAGGGGCTG